TCCAGTAATTTCTGCATTCTGTTTGGTTGCTTCTCTTTGGAATAGATACAAATACGGTTTCATCCAGTCAGTTTGCCAGGTGGTTGTCTTCCAAATTTCTTGGCATAGATGAGTGAGTGCCTCTAGTGCTTCATCAGTTTGTTGAAAGTTTCAATTTGTATTCCACCAATTCCTGGTGCCTTGTTCTTTGCCAATGCGTTCAGTGCACCTTGGACTTCTTCCTTTAGTATGATTAGTTCTTGATCATATGCTACCTCTTGAAATGGTTAAACATCTACCATTTCTTTTTTGGTACAGTAACTCTGTGTATTCCTCCCATTTTCTTTTGATGCATCATTCAATATTTTGCCCATAGAATCTTTCAGTATTGCAGGTTGAGGCTTGAATTTTTTCTTTAGTTCCCTCAGCTTGAGAAATGCTAAATGTGTTCTTCCCTTTTGGTTTTCTAACTCCACATTTTTGCACATTTCTTTATTAGACTTTGTCTTCTTGAACTGAGCATTGAAACTTTTGGTTCAGCTCTTTTGCCTCTGAGATCCTATATGCTGCTATTATCTGATTCACATCTTTTTCTTCTTTTAAAAAAAAAAAGAAAAGAAAAAAGATTGCTGTTTGACGTTATTTATTTATTTTAAAGTAACGTTGTTGTTGTTGTTAAGTTCTGTTGAGTCTGTTCTGACCCATAACGACCCTGTATAGGGTTTCCAAGGAGCAGCTGGTGAGCTTGAACCACCAACCTTGCAGTTCAAACGACTTTGCTGTCTGACGCATTAATCCACAGCAGGAGTAACATACAAGAGGCTTATTAGAACATGGAAAAAGAATACCTCCATGGGAGATGTGCCATAGGCAGCACCATCTCCTCACGCTCACAGTGTATAAGTGAGAGGTTAAGCTGAAAATGTGGTTCTGTTTCGATTTCATAATGAGGTAGGCTTTCCTGTTTCTGTAGTTCCGCTCTTGTGTGTTGCTTCCGTCTTTCATTTTTCCCATGCTGTGTGCAAATCTGTTACCCATGATTGAGTCTAAGATTTCTGGATGGATTCTGTTGCGGAAGTTGTTTGGAATACTTGATATAACCTATTCTGCGCCTGCACTGAAAATTGGTTGAGGGGGAGGTTAATAGATGGTGAACAAGCCCCCCATTGGGTTGGCATTGTTATTCTTAAGAACTTTGAAAATTTTAAATTATTATTATAAATTAATTAACTTAAAATTACTTTCATTTTACTTATAGAACAAATGAAAACAATGCATCTGATATAAAATTATGTTAAGTATATGACAAAAGATTATTCTGTCTTCAGACGCACACGCTAACATGTAAAATAAAATAAAAAATATTATATCTTTATTTTATACATAATTTCTAAAAACTGAAAATGTAAATTATCTAAATTATTTTAAATTTTGTCTTATAGATACTATATTTCGAAAGGTGCTATAGTGGATCAACTTGGCGGTGACCTAAATTCAACTCCATTACACTGGGCCACAAGGTTTAGATTTACTTCTGAATTCTTCCCCCTTGGTTCCTTTATTTAAAAAAAAATTATTTTAAAGAATTATTTGCTAAAAAGGAATAGGAAAATTTATGCCAGTAGTTAATATCATTTATATGCTAATGTATTGCTCTCCAGTTACCTGCAATGGGAGCAAAGTACGGTTTCCAGAGTGCCCTTAGGGAATTAACCACATAGATAATGGATCATATTAGGCATAAGATTGTGTTACACTTTGAATTTGTAAATGAAATTCTTTTGTAGCTTTAAGTACTTTTATAATTAAATAACAAGCCCTGTTCATGGGATTATTGAGATAATATTGAACTATAATAATTTTTATGATTACATATTAAAATGTAATCTCCATAAGTTATCAAAACTGTTGTTTCAGTTGTGACTTTTTAAGACCTAGAAATTCCTAAGTGTGTATTGACATATTTTAAAAATATTTGTATAATCTTTTCTGTCATAAACATAATTATAAAATATCTTTCCAGATTATCTTGTTTGAAATAACTTTATATATTTTAAGTGTTCATTCTTCTATGTTTTAGACAAGGCCATCTATCCATGGTTGTGCAACTAATGAAATATGGTGCAGATCCTTCATTAATTGATGGAGAAGGATGTAGCTGTATTCATCTTGCTGCTCAGTTCGGACATACCTCAATTGTTGCTTATCTCATAGCAAAAGGACAGGTAAAATATCCCAGTTAGTATGGATTTTAATGAGATAGTCTGTATGTTTTCAATCTGTTGTAACATAGATGTTACATGTATAACAACCTGGTGCAGTTTAAATAGTACTTTTTCATGTCAAACAGTAGATAAATATATTGTTAATTTAATGTTGAGTCATTTAATGCAGTTAACACAAAAATAAGAAAGACTGTCATGAATCAGGTAATGATCCCTTAAAGTAGGGTTTTCATTTCTGAGAATGAGAGAAATGATTCCTAAAAAGTTAGGGAAATAATTGAAAGTATATATTGTTTTCCTTAATTCTTTTAAGTGTATCATCTGGATTCAGCTGAATGTTTGTTTTTTAATTGTTTACTGGTTATTTTCTATATTAGCTACTTCTTAAACTATTTATTGTGAATTGAGTGAAGGTTTACAGAGCAGATCATCAGTTTTACATTCAACAAATCATACATTTCAATGATTGCAATCCCCACCATTTAGCACTAGTTATCTTACTTCCTCCCGGGATGATAAATTTTTAAGGATCAATTTCTGAGTATCTGTTATATAAAGTAATGCTGCTGCTTCTCAGAAAAATTTTCCTCTTTTAGTTTCTCCTGGTATGGCACTGTAGAGTAAGTACAAGTTCAGCAGTTCAAACCCACCTGCTGCTTCTTGTAAACTTTATATAGGGTCTCTGTGAGTTGGAACCGACTTGACGGCACTGAACAACAACAGCAAGTTTCTCTCTCCTACTAATTCCTGAATGTCCAGTGACCATTGTCACCTTACATATTATCTGATTTATTTGTACCATGTTTTTGTAATTTATTTGGTAAAAGTAATGTCAATAGGTTTTATTCCTATGTGCTCTGTTTTATTATGCTAATTATTTTATTTTAAAAGTAACTAAATGAGCTTATTAATTCATTGCTATCAACATAATACCAAACCAAAAATATTTTCTGTATTCAAAAGTTCCTAGTGAAAATGGTTTGGAACAGAGCACAAACATTGCTCTGATGGCATGATTAACAGTAGTTTATTACTCACAGAATAAACAGGATAGAGAAAAGTAGGACAGCATACAGCATCATCAACCTAGGTTCCTCGAAGTCCCAGGTTACAATTAGATCTCATCCAAGCATGCCTGACTGCATGTATTGAGTGGACACCAAATAAGTAAGTCCCTTTCTCACAGGGTTAAATACTAACAGGATAGCCATGTGTATGTGCCAGTTAGTATTATAGGGAACTATTAGAGAAAAGGGTGATAAAAGGTAAAAAGGGAGTAATAAAAGTGGCAGGCCCTCTGCAGGTAATGGACATTATTATCAATAGGTGTCAGTGTTCTTGTTTAGGGTAGGTGACCATCTACTACTACATCTACCATGACTAGTCTAGATATTACTGGCATCAGGAGCAGTTCTTCCTCCTTTATCCAACTTGCTTTTGTGTGCTGTTGAATTGATTTCAACACATAGTGACCCTGTATAGAGTTTCCAAGGAGCAGCTGGTGGGTTTGAATTGCTGACCTTTCAGTTAACAACCCAGTGCATAACCTTTTTTATTTACTTATTCATAACCTTATTGTTAATTGAGCGAAAGTGTATAGAGTAGATCATCAGTTTTACATTGAACAAATCATAAACTTTGTTTCATTTCAACTGCAGTCTCCTCCATGTGGTGTTGTTGTTGGTTGGTCCTATTGAGTCGGTACTGACTCATTGCA